CGGGCCCGGGGGCGGCGCGAGGCCCAACGCCACCCTCAGCACGCCGGCCCCGGCCCCCAGCGGCGGCGGCGGCGGCGGCAGCATCCAGAGGATCCCGCCCCCGCCCAAGGACGGCAACGCCACCCTGGACGCCACCGTCAAGGGCGTCATCACGAGGTCCATCTACGAGTCGGGCCATGACGTGGCCAACCTCGAGATCTGTCCGGACCTGGGCAGGAACCTGCAGGTATGTTACGCTCTGCGCACACCGCGGGGTACTTCACCATCAATTTAGTCGTACACCAAGTGCTAACTACCTGCTCTGTTTTTTTTTTTTTTTTTTTTTTTTTTAACAGGTGTTCATTGCTGTTACCTCAGCGCCTAGTCACCGAGAGGCACGGATGGCTGTTCGTCAAACATGGGGACACTTTCAACAACGAAGCGACATTGCCATCGCATTCATGCTGGGAGCCACGAATAACCCGCAATTAGAGAAAAGTCTTGGAGAAGAAGCAGCAATGTACAATGATTTGATTAGGGGACGATTTTTAGATTCCTACAATAATCTTACACTCAAGACCATATCCATGTTAGAGTGGGTGGACAATTACTGTTCTGAAGTGAAGTTCATTTTAAAAACAGATGATGATATGTTCATAAATGTGAATAAACTCATGGCTTTTATTAGCAAGCATGCTGATGTGAAGCGAACAATCTTTGGAAGATTAGCCAAAAAGTGGAAACCCATTAGGAATAAAAAGTCAAAGTATTATGTCTCGCCACAACAGTACAAACGAGTGGTATTTCCCGATTTCACAACCGGTCCTGCATACCTTATGTCTCAAGATGTGGTTCATGATCTGTATACTGCTGCATTGAAACAAATGTACCTGAAGCTGGAAGATGTGTACACCACCGGTATTGTTGCTCATTCTGTCAATGTTAAAAGAGTGCATGTGAATGAATTTTTGAACAAGCGAGTTGCTTTCAATGCATGCAATATACAAAAGGGCATTAGTATACATATGGTCAAATACCATGAACAATTTGACCTCTGGAAAAAATTATTAGACGGTCGAACAAAATGCAAATAGATGAAAGCACGAAAATTTAAGTCATTGTTATCAGCGTATTCAAGTGTAGCTTGTTATGTGTTTTTAAGTTATTTTAGTTAATAACAGATCATTTATAATTTATTGTTCCATTGCTCCCTCTCTGCTCCAAAACCTCTAGTGCAATATAGAGATAAAAGTTCATGTGGCCATCGTTATATATGTTTGTTTTTTTACAGATTAATGTATGTTGTATTATTTTAAGTGATTTATACTGGTTATAAATCTTTAAAAAAGAGAGAGATTGTTGTTGTGAAGATGCATAGCTTTGATGGGGCATGTCTTTCACACACTTTAGAAGCATTTATTCAGGGAGTTGTAAATAATGTTTTTATTTTACATGGCATTCACTCATAGTATTACCTTTCCATGGATACAATTGTTTCTTAAAATTTTAACCTGGGTCATAATAAATTTATTTGAGGTTTGTGTGTTTGTTCTCATGAAAGTCATTTTAACTCTATAATCATAAAAACATTTACTCTAATGTTGATAAAATCAAAACATCTTGCTTTTGTGGGAATACCAATCTAATGTTACTTGTATTGGTGTATTGACCTTACAAATCCAAGATCTGGTTGTGAATATCAGTTTGTAAGAGTGCAGCTTATTAAATCAGAATCAAGCTGAATGAACATGTGATAAACTGGGATATGCTTGCTTCTCTAGATTTTTTGTTCTCCTTTGTTTGTTACAGGGGTTTTAGTTCTATCAGATAGTTCCTGATAAATGATGTATTACTGAATGCATTCTGTGCCCCTAGTTAGACTTTACTCCTTTAGAAAATATTACACATTATGATTCAAAAGAGTGCCGTATACATTGTAGTATAGGGACATTAATATGAATTGTTATTTATTGAGACTGCTTAATTATAATATTTTAATAGTATGGATCTTGCTTCTTAAAATTAGATTCTTCATATTCATAGAACTTGTACTTATATTAAGGCAACCATTGTAGCACAAAGTCATCACATATTTTAACTTCCACTCACCATCTCTCAACAGGTCTCTCTTATAACTTATATCCCACAAATTACCATTGTGATATTACTCTTAATTCCACAGAACAACTTTATAATACCTATGTAAAGATGAACCCACCCTCCAGCAAGTTGGGATTATTTTAATTTATTGTGATTGAGGCATGAGCCGTTTCCCTACAAGGTGTTTTTGGAAAGATTTTCATCTGAATTTGAGAATTGCAACATAATTTAAAGTGCTGTGCTGTTGAACCTTTCAATGAAGCAAATTTTGTTTTTAGAATGTGAATTCTTCCCATCAACACCTCTTGACATTAAATATCATTTGAGTATTTCTCAAAATCTTCCTTCTTTTGCATCATGATTGATGTGTCGTTGCATTCATAATTGCGAAGTATACCTTCAAAATAGTTGTGAAAAATGTATTACTGATAAGTTCATAAATCATTCAAACTCTTAAATCAGTTTGCCCATACTAGCTGATGTTGATTTGTTGTCTGAGATAACATACTCATATTTGCCTTCGTAAGTGAACAAGTTTTCTATTGGTGTAAGTGTTTAGTAACAAGGAGTGCAAATGTTCTAGGCGTTTATGAAAATTGCAAGAACTATTTGTTAATAGTGTACTGTATGCAATGTGAAAGAAGGCACAATGAACTTCTTCATTGAGGTTGAGAAGACACTAAATATAAATTCAGGTTAAATATTTGTTATGAAATTTAGGATTTGTCATTTAATCAGGATACTCCTGGACCATTGATGCTTAGTTTCCATTTTAAGTGAGAAGAAATTAATTGTTATATTGAAGGAGATATACACAACAGCGACAAGACTGTATCTATTTTTGTATTACTGTGACATAATAATTTGCTTTGCTTTGTTACTTTAATCGTCAAAGAGAGTAGCTCAGTGGCCATTTGACAAAAGTGTATGACGCCTCCTTTTTCTTTTTCTTCTATTTCCCCCCCTTCATCCTTCAGTGTATTATATTTGCTTACAGTTAGTGGTGCAGCGGAGATCCTTTGAACATGGAAATAGGCATTGGAATTATACTTATGACGTGTCATTTTGAACTCCTTGCATTTATTTACTGATATTGACCACTTGCTGTTCACACCAACTGCTTTGTCCTAGACAGAGCATTGTGCTATATTGATAAATAATGGAGATTGCTGATAGGTAAAGAAGAGATTTCCACTCTGTGGGTACTCTACATCAAGACAGAAATGAATGAGTGGCTTCACCAATTTTGTTGCTAGCTGTCCAAAGTGCTACAGGCTATGAACTAAGGAAAAAAGTTTCATTGTGTAAGCTGGTGGTTTTGATGCCGTGTCTCTGAACAGTGTAACCTTTATGTACCATGTAAACCACTTTATTTTGGAATTTCATTCTTCAGTGGCAAAGCTATACATACACGTAGAGAATTTCTTGTCTAACAAAATGACCAGTAAAGATAGTGATGTAAGTGACTGTACTTTTACTTATTTTTTTGAATTGAATGCCAATAGCATGTAAAGGCAATGTGATGCTGAATGACTTATGTACATCTAATAATATTTTTCTTCTCAATGAAATAAGTTAATTTCAATAATGTATCAGTAAATGTAAAGTCTATGCGTTATGAAAAGTAAAGAGTTAAAGATATCTTTAATTTGGATAATCGCTTTGCATTATTGTAATGGTTACTGTGCCAAATCGCATGAACCTAAATTCATTAAGGCAACAGATATTTTTGCTTGTAAAATCTCAATTTCCGAAAGAGGCTTAAAGTGTTGCTTTGTTACAATTTTTATTTGTTTAATTCATCTCTTCAATCAACGTTTAATAGACTGTTCTCATATCCATTGCGCCTGATCTTCCCTAATTTAGTTAAAACCTTTGGTATCAATGACAAACTTGTTTCCGTTCACCATGTGGATAAAATGAAAAGAAGTGTGATGTAATTTCTGCAGTAAATAAATGCCTTGAAAGTATGAATAAGTCGAAAGTCATTTCCCCCCGTCTTTTTTGTGGTGCGAAATTGCATTTTTCCACTATGGCCGCGGGGTGAGGGTTCCACCAGACACGCGTGTGCTGCAGGGACTGCCCACCCGGCCTCGGCAAGCGCCGCCGTGTGCGTCCCTGTTCGGAGCTACACAGTTGTAGCTACAACCGACACGGCCACAGGCAGCTTTATCCAAACCGATTGTAGAAATAAGGCCGCTTGGCAGCGTAAATGCTCATGCTCCCCCCCCC